CCCTCCCCACACTCCGTCCCGGTGAGGTTGTCAGTCACCACAGCCCCGGCGCCCCTGCTTCCTTCTCACTTCCACCCATTGCTAGCAGTCCCGCCCTTGTTTTATCTTTGGTCCTTTTTATTGAAGGTTCACATCAGTGCCTGCTCCTTGTAAAGCATCTGGGAAATCCTGCCCACCAAGAGTTCCCTTCTGATGCTTCCCGAGTTCTCTGAGCCTGACTCCCCTCCTGCCCTCACGACCTGGTTCACTCACACGCAGAACAGTGACCCCATCTCAGCGGCCGTGCCCTTGAGTCCTGAGTGCAGATGGGAGCTGTGCTGTCTGGTGCAGCCACCGGGGCCCAGGAGAGTGTTAGGGAAGAAAATATGCTTAGTGAAACAAAAAACCTACTAAGACTGTGTGAATTAACAATGAAACACTGTTGGTTGCCCAGGAAGACACCATGAAGTGCACCAAAAATAGTGGACTCTTGTCCCGCATGCAGATACAGAAACATTTGTTTTTAAAGGTGCCATCTGTTTCTGTGAGCTTTATCCCCTCTGCACCCGCATTCCGCAAACAGCGAATTTCTGATTTCTAGAGGTGTTGCCTTTGGAGCAGCATTTTCTACTTTGGTGATGTGAAATCTTTCCTGTAAAGCATCATACTTCAAAATGCCTTAAATTTACCTTCAGCCTGCCTTTCCGGTGAATCTTTGTCCCCACCAAAATCTGACCGTCTTTCATACAATTTGGGGGGCATCCTTTACTACCAGAAAATCACCTGGAAGACAGTCAGTCAGACAATCCATGTGCATTGAGCACAAAGTACACCATTTACTCTGCATCCTTATGGTGAGGTGGAATAATTTTCTGCAGTTCCAAGACACTACCCGCCACAGGCTTCCTGCCCCGCGGATAAGATCACCCATCCGTCCCCCATCTGTGGTGCTCTCTGCCGAGCTTGGAAGCTTTGTCCCCATTTCACGGAACCCTTTATTCTGAGAGTCACCCTTTCTCCTGCGGTTTGTCCCTGCTTTCCAGGGACAATGCCTCTGAGCCTGGAGCCTGTCCAGTGACGTGTTTACCTTCTTTTGGTCACGAAGGCGGCTGTCTCCCGCCACCCAGTCTTCCCTCCGTGCCTGGCGTCTCCCTCCCCATCCCTGTCATTTGTGTTGTTGGTGTGACTGTTCTCTGTGATGGTGCACTTTGCCAGACCCTCACCCTTGCCACCCACCCAAGCCCTGGCCCGCGTCCTGCCTCTCTCCCCATGGCACGGTCCTTTCTCAGAGGCTGGTGTCCCCTGGCTCCGTGGCTTCTGCCTTCAGCCCCTTCCTCTTAGAGGAGCTCCTGCTACTTAGAGCATCTGAAAGGAGCGACCGCGGCGCAGACCGGTGTCGGCAGTCCAGGGTGCCCGTGCTCATCAGACAGGGGGCCTGGAGAGCTGAACGGCAGCGGGGGTGCCCAGCACCCGGGGTCTGCTGGCCGGTGTGTTGCAGAACCATTCCTACCTTTACAAGTAGGAAAAGGGTCTTTGGAGAGTTGATCTCTTTAAAACCCGCATCTTCAATGGCACGTTGAATGCGATGGCCAGCCTGGCCGACTTTCCACGGCCCTGTGGCCTTCTTCATCCAGGGATGATGATGGTATGTATTTAACTTGGATTCTTACTCTGCCCGACTCCAGAAGCAACAGGGACAGTGCGTGGAGTAAGCCGCGTGGAGAACATTCTGGTCTCTGCTGGGAATGAAATGTTTGGGTTGCTCAAAAGCTGCCGAGGAAATCATTGAGGGATTACCTGTTTTAAAATTTCAAAAATTTCAACATAAGAAGAAGCAGTTAATGTTCAAAATAAAGGAAAGATTAGCTTTCTCATCAGCATAATTCAGGAAGCATTTCAGGGCAAACATCACAGCTCCTGTCCTGGCACGTGCAGAGGCTGGGGTAGAACTTCAGGGAGAGATTTTTCAGCATGTCACATCGGTGCAGCGGAGGAGAGGATTTGTCTGCGGGTTAGAATGAGAACAGACTTAAAGTCTCCTCTCACACCATGACCCCGTCCGACAAATCTGAACGTGACTCGGGCGGCCCGCGTGGGCAGGGGAGCGAGCGTTCTGGGACGTGACACGTGAGCGTCTCCCGGTCAGGAAGCAGGAACCTGCAGGCGTGCTGACAGGTCGTGGTGTGAACGGGGACAGTTCTCCGAGGCCCAGGAGGGTTCCATTGTGTTTGTTAGGCAGACTGGGGAAGAGAAGACAGGAGGCTGTTCCTGGAGGTGGGTGTCACTGGCCACCATGGGGCCGAGAGAGCAAACACGCGGGGCTCTGTTTTGGACGGATCGAGAAGAAACAAGTAGGAAGTTGCAGAGAGAAAGTGGAAATAAAAAATTTTAGAAGGGACGGCAAAAGACAGTTCCTATGACAGGTTTTTCCCCTCTGAAAAAACTTACAGATAACAGGCTTGAGGAGACAGAGCAGGTCGTCTCCGTGCATGTTTTTAAGCTTGGGGGTTGGGTGAGCACCCACCTCTGAGCCCATCTCCTGAACTGTGGTCTCTGGTTGGGTCTTCAGCTACAACATTTGGAAACACAGAAAAGGGGTAGAGATGGACACAAAGGCAGCCAGGCTTAAACACATGATTGGGTCGAGTCCGGGCCAGCGAGGCCCCCGGTGAAGCAGTGGGCTTGAGGCAGACTGCAGGGTGAGCCGCGGCGGTTCGGCCAGTGACATGCTGAAGTGGGTACCAGGTTGTGGCAGCTGCCGGAAGCAGGAAGTGGTCACCCACCCAGACCAGGGTGCTGGGCGGAGTGCCCCTCAGAGGACCAGGCGGTTCGCCTTGGGCTAAACCAGAGGGGATTAGAAACAGGGGTGTATGAACTGCAGGGAGCATGGGAGAGGCCAGAAGAATCCAGGAAGCAGAGAACTTGTCCTGGTGAAGATGCCGGGGCCCATCCAGACGGAAGCCCGGATGCCGCAGCCCGCGCAGGGGGCTTGGCACCGGGGTGTCCGTGAGGCTTCTGTTTTCTCGAATTGCACCCAGTCGTTATCACCAAAAGTTGAGTCAGTGTCAACAGGGTGCAAGGCCCACCCTGGGCCGGTCTGTGAGCCCCTCTGCCCGCCCCACACTGACCCCCAGGGCTCTGGTCAGAGGCACAGGTCCCAGCACCAGGTTACCACTTAGCTTCGGGTGGTTTGGGATTTTTTTAGGTTTTCTATCCGTTTATTGCTATTTCTTTTTTTTTTTTGCTGTTTTCTTTATTCTTTTTTTCTAATTGAAGTAGAATCAGTTTACAATATGCCAATTTCTGGTGCACAGCACAATGTCCCAGTCATACGTATACATACATATGTTCATTTTCACGCCTTCTCATTATAGGTCACCACAAAATACTGACTGTAGCTCCCTGTGCTCTGCAGCAGGGCTGTCTGTTCACCTATTTTATACGTAGTGCTCAGTGTCAGCTGGTCTGAACTCCCAGTTTATCCCTTCCCATCCCTCCCCCTCTGGTCAACATAAGTTTGTTCTCTGTGTCTGTGAATCTGTTTCTGTTTTGTAAATAAGTTCACTGGTGTTATGTTGTTAAGCCTGCACATAGAAGCGACATCATATGATATTTTTGTTTCTCTGACTCACTTAGAGCGATGACCTCTAGGTCCGTCCGTGTTGCTGCAGTGGCTGGTTTTCCTTCCTCCCTCCCTCCCTCCCTTCCTTCTTTCCTTCCCTCGTTCTCTCTTTTAATCATTCCATTTACTTTTTTCCCTTCACTTACTCATTTATCTTATTTTTTTAATTGTGGTAAAATACCATGAAGTGACCGTTTTCCTGGTGTGTAACTCAGGAGCGGGCGGTGCTCTCCCGCTGTTATGCGAGCATCTCCCCCTCCCATTGAACACTGACTCCCTGGTCCCTCCCCTCCGGCCCTGACAGCCACCACCCTGCTTTCTGTCTCTGTGAGTGTGACTGTTCCGCCCAGCTCGGAGGTGAAAGTGTGTGATACGTGTCCTTCTGTGTGGGGCTTATTTCAGTGAGCACAGTGTTTTTAAGGTTCATCCACGTCGTAGTCTGTGTCAGAACTTCACTCCTTTTCAAGGCGCTGTGAAAGTTTTTAAAAAAGAGTTTTGCTGTGCCACCAGGCCATCTCTTTCTGTCACTCGACTTATTGAGAATGACCACGTGTCCTCTGCAAAGGGGTGAGAGGCTAAGTAGAGGAGTTTTCCATCCTCTCGCCCCTCAGGCAGCTTGTGTTCTGGGAGAATCAGTGAGTCGGGTGCAGAAGGCGGCACAGTGTAGACGTGCGAGGGCCTGAGAAGTGGGCAGGAGGCCCCTGGAGCCTGGTCCAGCATTGGGACAAGTGAGAGCAAGGCTTTGAGAGGCCCGGCGGCGGGTCAGGCAGAGAGGTGGTCCCAGGGGGCCCCAGTGGGGCCGTGTGCGTGACGGCGGTTGGGGAGGAAAGGCCACACCTGGGGGACGTGCCCAGGTGTGGGGACGTGTTGGGCACGTTCATGGACATGATCGTAGCTGTGGCTGTAAAGGCAGGTTGAGGCCAGACAGTGAGGGCTTTGCACCCCAGGGTGAGGGTTATAACCTTATAAACCTCATGTTGGCTTCTCCATGGATTTGCAGTCTGTTGGCAGCAGACTTGAGAAATCTTACCTGGACTCCTTCCTTCCAATGAGTCGGTGACGAGGTGGTTTGTCCTGCTAATCAAGGGGGCAGAAGGGGGTTGCAAAGCCTCCACCTGCCATTCTGATGTGTGTCAGGCATGTCGTGGGGAGGTCCTCAGGTGTGGCCTGGTTGCCTGCTCTGGCCGGAGCTGAGTGAGTGGTCCCAGAGAAAGCAGAGTGGAGCCACCCGCTGCCATCTTCACGGGACTCTGTTGGTCACACAGGTTGCCCTGAGTGTGGCCCGTGGGGACCTCAAGGCATGTGAGAAAGGACTCACCTCCCTCTGCTTCTGTGCCTGTTAACTGTCACTTTGCAGAGGGACAGTGAGATACATGGAAGTGAGGGGATGTGACGTTGAACCGTCAAGACTTCTGGAACCTTTAAGTGACGATTAGACCTTTGCCCACTGAGTTGAGAACCAGTGGGGAACAGACACAGATGCCAGGCGAATGCAGATCAGAACATCAGTTGCTGGTGGTGGTGGATTGAATTGGGGGCCACCGCCCTCCCCCCACCTGTTAACCGTGGGACAGCCTGTCCCAGGGAGAACCCGGGGTGTTTAGGGCAGAACGTCCTTAGATTTGCCCTCATCCGTGTCAAACCCCAAGTAAGGGACACAGAGAGACAGACATCCGGATCCACTTCCAGAGGGCAGCCCTGGCTCCCGTGACCCTGCACACACCTTCCAGCGGGAAAGTCGAGGCAGGGCAGAGCCCACTGAGCCTGGAGGCGGACAGTCCAGTGAGGACTGAGCCCATCTCCAGCCACTCCTCCCTGACAGTCACATAAATGCTCTCCCTTCTCCTCGGAGCAGGAAGGACAGGGGTGGTCCCCTCCTGGGAGATGGGGCAAGCCTTCTCTCTGTGGCCAGGGTCAGCAGCTGGGAGAGCACAGGAGTGGGTCTCCCACCTGGGCCTCCAGTGCTGGGCCATCCGCCCTTCCAAACTTAATACCTGGGCTCTGCTCAGCAGGGAACGGGTGTGCCCAGCACTGTCGGCAGGCTGGTGCCCTGACCTGTTCTGTGGTGTCTGAGGCCCATGCGCCGTCTTGGCCCCCCGACCCGAGACGGCCTGGACTCACCTTTCCCCCTCTCCCCTGCTCGCTCGCAGGCACCGCGTGGTGGTCTCCTACCCTCCTCAGAGCGAGGCCGAACTTGAACTCAAAGAGGGAGATATCGTGTTTGTGCACAAGAAACGGGAGGATGGCTGGTTCAAGGGCACGTTGCAGCGGAACGGGAAGACGGGCCTGTTCCCCGGGAGCTTCGTGGAGAACATCTGAGGACACACTGGGGAGCCTAGACCCGCCCCCCCAGCGCCGGGCCACCCCAGCAGGACACGAGCGAGGGACCGCGTGTCGCCAGCACGGTGACGTGGGAGGGGGGCGCGCGGGTCTGTCCCCTGGGTCCCGGTGTGAGGTGTGCCTGGTCCCGTCTGGTCAGCTCCACAGAGAAACCTTTTGTAAAAAGCGCTATGGCTAAAAAGGACCGTTGTTTACAAGGTTTAACTAATTTATTTGCTTTTCTTAAACTTGAAGTTTTCTTGTAATAGATAAATTCTTTGATGATTTTAAGAAATTATTAATTTATGAAGCGGTAGCCGGGGAGGAGCGGCCGTCTCCTGTCGGGAACAGGGCGTCCTTCTCGGCGCCACGTGACCCCTCCCGCCGCAGGGCGGCCGCTCTGCTCCTTTGAGGCAGAAGCGCCAGTTCTCTGTCCGGTGTCCGCTCCGGGAAGCCACACCTAGGAGCGCAGCCGTGTCGCTGAGGGCCCGGGGTGGCGAGGTGGGGACTTGAGGGGACGTGGGCGCCCCCGTCTCCCTGGTTGGGTCAGGGACCACCCCCAAGACGCGGGCCTCCATTTCATTGGGTGGGTTTCCGATTTCCTGGAATGAGGAAGAATGAAGCACAGCCCTTGAACAAAAGGTATTCGCAGACAGACTGAGTTTTGTAACAGAAGCTGCTCAACGCTGATTGGACGCTGTAGGAATCGAGGTGGTCCGCTGTCTGAGGGCAGCTCTGAGATGTCACCGCGCCTACCCCCCGGGACCTGCGTGCTGGACGCAGCAGCACATGTGCGGTGGTGCTGGAGTCGGGGCCGAGGGACGCTGGGCGGCCCTGACAGGTGTCCGTGTGGCTCTTGCCCACGTCCCTTGACTGGTGCTGGACCCACTGCTCAGAGGCCGCGGCGTGATGTCCCCGGAGGCACGTGCGCAGAGCTGCCCGCGCGGGGCTGCGGTCCGGCAGCACCTCCCGCCCGACGCCACCCCTGGCAGGGCCTGCGCCCTGCGGGACTCGGGACGGGGTCGGTCCAGCCGTTTTCTTCCAGCCCGTCTGACACCCTCGACCTCTGACCCTTGTCCCGCAGGCGAGGGTCAGGGCCACCCTCAGAACAACGCCAGGGAAGCCGGCCTGGCGGGGAAGGGGGTTGTGGCCACAGTTCACTTGTGAAAACACCAACGAATAGCCGTTTCATTTTTGATTTTTCACAATTACAACTGGGAAATAGAAACATGAACAGTTGAGTCTTTTGCAGTAGCAAGAGGGGGCATGGTCTTAAAAAGATATATTATGTGGTGGAAATGAAATCATTCCTAAATTAACCCTTTTTTTTTTTATAAAACACTGTACATTATGTTCCTGTGTATTGAATTTTTAAAAAAAATACTTGGATATTCATGTAATATATGAAGTTTTGGTGAAATGAACTTCAGTTAAGAGAAAAGCTGGCATCAGCTTTCATCTGTGTAAGTTGACACCAATGTGTCATGATATTCTTTATTTTGGGAAATTAGTGTATTTTATAAAAATTTTAAAAAGTAAACAGACTACTACTGGTCAAGATCATTTTTTTACCTGTCTTTTCTCCATATTTTAAGCTACGTGATTGAAGCACCTCTGTTAATAGTTTCCTGGTACGAAGTTGGTTAAAATTCCATGTTAATAGATCACCTAAGTAATACAATGTGTGGGTTTTCTGTTGGTTTTTTTTGACACAGTAGATGGAGATTTTGTAACAAGGGCCTGTTACGCTTCGATCGGGTAATGATAAAATCACAGTTTATCATTGCTTTTCATGTTAATAATTTGAAGACTGGAGAAAAGGTTCAAGATTAAAATTTGATGTTCAACCTTTACGCATCCATTGTGTCAATCCTGACAGTTTTTTCCCACACCGTTGGCTTGGTTGCTCCTTCACAGAGGTTCTTTGCACGCTCCTCAGACAGACGGTGTGCACACCCCTCGGCTTGGTGGTCATGGTACCTGTTCCCTCTCCAGCCAGCAAACCGCATTTGTTAATAAGGTTTCCCCAAGAAGTTCAAGGTCTTCTTAAAAGAGTTTGTGGTGTCACCCCGGGGTCTGGGTCCCACTCGGCTCCACCCCCGCTTCGCGGCTGCTGAGCCGTGTGGGGGCTCTGGAAGTTTTCTCTTGGCCACAGAGGGAGTCCCAGACCTGTACCAGCTGAGCGGTGGCCTGTAGGTCCGGTGAGGCTTGGAAACTTAACCTTCAGACTCGTGGTGGTTTTAATGTAACACGGAAAGGCGAGAAGTCGTAAGTTTAACAAGACTTTGTCAGGTTAAAGAAAGTACTTTCCTAACTTAACTTTAGCTACTATCAAAATCACTTGTCGGAATTAAAAATCAGAAATCCGCTAGGCTGTGTCGTAGCTTTGCCAGAGGCTACCTTTGTAACCAGCTGGGCAAGTCGGTGGTCTCCGAGTTTGTTCCCGTTCCTGCCCTGTCTCCTCGCCGGGCGAAGGGGCGGAGAGGCGGCCGGTGTGCGTGTTTGGGAAAGCGCCGTCTTCACAGCTGCCTGGTTCTCACCCCTGGTGTCAGGTAGTTCACTTCAGTCTCTCGTAGTGCACGCATGTGGCCTTTGCTGGTCTGCCTGCATTTCGAAGGGACACGTTGAGGTGGTGGTTCCATCAGTGGTGCGTGTAATTTTCTGCTCCCAATGAGAACAGGACCGTGTTTTCATGTCTCTAGAAGCTCAGGTGAATATTTCAGCCCAGAGCTCTACATGCCGTTAGGAGTTCAAGTTTGGAAAGTGCTTTTACTAGATGTTTGACCAGGGTATGCAGCGTGTTGTGTATCTGTGTGAAATCTTTAAAAATTGTTTGAACTGTTAAACTGTGTTCTTGTTGATGTAGCATCTTATTCAAATTACTCCTTTCCAAGAAAATGACTTTGCTGCCCTCCCACCGCAACAGATGGGGTCTTACGCGAGCGTCGCCTGTGTCCCGGCCAAGCGGGGTTGCCCATCCCTGACCCCTGTGAGCTCCGGGCTCCGCTCCTGGGGGAAGTAATTCTCCCGGGGGGTCGTGCCGGGGCTGTAGGAGGGCTGTGAGCTGTGACGGCCCCGAGCCCTCTCGCTGTCTCCCAAGGGATGTTTCTTTCATTCCTTTCTTTCGTCTTTCCTGTCACCAACGTTGACTGACTTTCTGACCTGGCTCTTTAGGTTTCCATCCTGAAAGCTGCACCCTGGTCTCACTCGAGGCTGGTTCTCACTGCACTGCAGTGACCCAGGACTGGTCAGGAGCCACCTAGACGAGACCTGCCATAGGCAGTGATCTGCAGGGACCCTCAAGCCTCCATCCTGTACTGTCACTGCAGGGTCCTACTACCTTGGTGTGTTGGTAAGTCTCCAAAGGTAGCCGTGTGATTGGTGAGCCAGCCGCCCCTGCTGTTACAACTCAGATAAGAAACTTGGCTCCAGAAGACTTTGACCTTGAGTTGAATCTTTCCAGGTCTGAAACCCTCATGAAAGTACTAGAAGGAACCAGGGGACACCTCCAAGTGAGACCTTCCTAAACAGGACTCAGAAACCAAAGCCTTAAAAGGCAAAACACTGATACACTCAACTACAAAAAACAAACCTACATGACAAAAGACTTCAAAGTCAAAAGGAAATAGTAGAAGAAGAAAATTTGGAACACCCATTGGCAGACAAGGAGCCTTTGCTTTGTAAGTAAAGAGTTCCTACAAAAGTAAGAACAAAAACCCCAAAGTCGAGTTGACCAAGGATGTGTGACAGAAGCTGCCAGTTGCCTCCCAGTATCCTCTGTCCTCTTCTCCCTTCTTCATGGATACCCGGGCAATGCTCCCGGTTAAGAAGCCCTGTGGTCCAGGTACCCTCAGACGTAGCCATGTCACTGAGTTGTCGCTGAGGCAGAAGCTAAGTGGCCCAGAGAGCTTCTGGAAGACTTCTTAGAAGAGGCACATACCTTCTGGCGGTTTTCTTTTTCCTTCTTGCAGCCTGCGATGTAGACACAATGGCTGGTCCTCCAGCAGCTATCTTGGGCCGTAAGTGACCTATAAGATGGAGCCACATTTTAACATGGTACCAGAGAAGGAAACAGGGAGCTTGAGACCCTGATAAGCTTGCAGCCTTCATGCCAGCCTGAACTACTCATCTCGATAGGACCTGTGTGGGAGTAAACCTCGAGTTTAAGCCTCTGTAGTCTGACCTCCTACCCAGAACCACCCTGATACCAGTCTTAACTGGCAGTCCAGCAGGGTCCGACTGCCGCACTGCTCCATCTCAAGGTCACCTTCCAAGGAGTTCAATTAATTGTGAAGGTGGGGTCTCTGGAAGACCCACTGTGGAAGGAAACCAGCCCACCACACCAGCGGGCCGAGAGATCCCAAGACCCGACGGAGAGCTGGCCTTGCCAGACGACAGCTGCACAGTGACCTCTGAGGTGCTGTGTGAGCGTCTGGGTGCTCTGAATATGGGGCAGCGCAGGGAGAAATAAAACGTCAGTATTACTTTCCTTTTTCTCCTTTTCCTCCGACATGGTTTATTTTTCACAATCACACGTTCTAACTGGAGCGTGGAATTCCTGGAATTCACGGCTGCGCAGGGGAGGAAACCAGAGTCCCTGAGGCAGCACAGACCTTAGTTGCCATCACATTTTCCCACGTCCTGAAGCTGTAGACGTTGACTTCATCCTTTTTCAGGTGTTTGGATGGCGTACCAGAAAGAGCGGGATGCTGTAATCCAGTAAAGATGCAGTGTTCTTTGCTAGCTTGATCTTTTGGCGGCTCTCACCCACCTGTAGGCTACCCTGAATGTTGCATCCCAGGACAACTGCTGCGCGAAGCTGCTCCGCTTCAGCGACGCTGATTTCCAGGCGCAGTGCTGTCCGTCAGAGCCTCTGCCCTGGGAAGTGATGGAGATGCTTTACGTCAGGGCCATCCGATGTGGGGACCACTCGTCACGTGTGGGTGTTGTCAACGAGGAACTGAATCTCTGATCCGATTGCATCTTAATTCAGGTAAGTCAAATACGATGCTCATATGTAGCTAATGGCTACCACATTCATGCAGTTTAAGAGAGCAAAACTCTATTTTTAAATGACCATTCCAAAAACAGGGAGAAAACTTGCTACACTGTATCCAGCTTCTCGCACACGGCACCAGCACATTAGGCGCAGAATGGATTAGAAACCGTCCCGAGATGTGTGACGGCTTTGTCACTTTGAGCCACGGAGATGGTTCCTTCAACTTGTCTCTTCCTCCCCGGCCCTCGAAGAGTTGGGTGGCGTGAGACTCGACCCCAGCAGGGGCCGGGGGACCTACTGAAGGCTTTGGCGATTGGCGGGGATGCTGCTTCCCCGCAGGTGGGGTCTGTGATGCCTCCAAGGTCAGGACCCCCGTCTTCCAAGCAAGTCTTGTGACCCAGAGTCCACGATGGGTCGTCAGTCGTGGTCCAGGCGACGGTCAGAGGCTCTGCCTTCTGTGAACTCGTGAACATCTTCTCAGCAGGTTGGGGTTGGGGTTTATAGAGTGAGAAACAGAGAATTCTAGCCTCTAAGTCAATGAGAGACGACCTCCAGGCTTCCTCCCCGACCCCCAAGCAGGTCTGTTCCTCAAAGGCCAGAACCTATCTTTCCAACACCGGTCCCTGTCTTCTGTGGACAAAAACTGAAAGCTTAGTGAAATTACCTTTCCCCTTTTTCTAAGTGCTCCAGGGTGCTCCAAGACGTAAAGCAAAAATGTCCTTTTGAGTAAAGCCAGTTTCCTTCTAACCGATCCCAAGAGCACGCTCAGTAACTCCCTAGAGGCAGCTGGGAGGGAAGACGCGGCCCCGGCGCCCGCTCGGCAGCCTCGCCACGCCCGGCACCGCCGTTCCCGCGGGGGTAGCAGTTGTGGGCCTGCTCTGATGTGGTGCCGGCTGCCGGGATCAAAGCTGGGCTCGGGTTTCTCCCCTTTGAGCCGAAATGCTCTAGCCTGTGATTTGTTCACCCGCTGAGGCAGATGTGGGCGCCTGGCCTGCTGTCATCGGCCCTGTAATCTCGCCGGAGTGAGGGGTGCTCCCAGGAGAGGGTGTCGCGGTGGAAGCGCCCCACGTCAGCAGAGCTGCAGCGGCCTCCCCACCAGCCGGCGCCCGGGGCCTGAGGCACGACGGGAGCAGATGCAGAGCTTTCAGTCAGACTCAGCCTTTGATCCCGAACTACTCCTATGCCAAGGAGTGCGTTTTTATCTTTCCTTAAAAAAAAAATCCTCTTTTGTATTACTTCTCCTGTCTCACCATCTTCATCTCTACCTGCCATGCTCTTTCCCCCCTTGGTGTGGGTGTGGGGTCCCCCCTCACTGTAGGTGTGAGGTCATGGAGCTTGGTGTGTGGAGGAATGCCCCATTAACAGGTGTCCCCCCATAGCTGGTCTGAACAACTGTCCTTAAATTTCCATCCGAAGAGCCACTGAGTTTTTTGCTGTCTTTCCTCTTTTCAGCCCGTTGTATTAAGTCATTGCCAGAGTCCTGGGGTATAATAAAAGCACAGCTGGACCAGAGTGGGGAAGGAGGCTTAAATGATGCCACTGAAACTCGGGTTCTTAAGGGGTGAGATACACCTGTTAGTTGCCTGAGGTGAAGACACTTAAGCCCTCCTGGAGCTCAGTGACAGCTTCCTGCTCACAGCGTGGGTCTCCCAGGCCGCTGTGTGTTTAGCCAGCACAGTGACAGTTGTGGTGAAAGACACAGAAGAAATTATTCTTTCCTCCTGCAAAGGTCTGGAGATCTCTTACCAGGACATACACAATAAAAATGGTAAAAGTGAAAACAGGTGAAATATGGGATCATGGAAAACAAATAAGAGGTGTAACTGGAAGAAAGAAACAAGCCGCTGCCCCTGCCTCC